TATATATATATATATATATATATATATATATATATATATATATATATATATATATATATATATATATATATATATATATATATATATATACTGTACGTTAAAACAAAAAGTATATTAAACTTCAGACGAATGCAACCAAAATCGCATTTAATAATCGAGTTTGATTGATACACATGTGCAATCAATGTGTAAAATTGGTGTAAATTAGCCTTAGATATTATAAAAGTGCAAAAGATATATTTCGCGCCAATAGCTGACGTGCTTGTGGATTATATAATGATTTTTTTAAAGCTCAGCTAAGTTATCAAATTAACCAAAAGCGATATACGCTGTAAAATTGAACAATATATGTAGCTTACGGGAAAACGATTCATGCTTTATACTGTTGCATTCATTTTACTATGTTTGGTAATGAAACGATTTATTTCGTATAACTTTTTAATGTATATGACATGAAATTTTTTATTTTCTTAAATGAAAGAACTCTTTAAGCTATAGTGTAACTTATTTTTCAGTTTCTTGTTTTTATGGTTTGTTCCCAAGATATTTCAATTTGTATATGATATGTAAATTAGTGTGAATATGTCCGCTAATTTGTGACGTCACTTTCTTTGGATGCAAGCTCTTCAAAATGGTTGAATATCACTGCAATCATCCAAGATGATAATTTCAAACTTCACTCACTGGTAAATGTGATGAAACACTGGAGAAAAACGTGAACTGATATCTACAGTTTTTAGAGTTAATAGATTTATAACCAGTGTAAGTTGAGCTTGCAACCAAAGTGACGTCATAAATTAGCGGACATGTTCACACTAATTTACATATCAAACAAATTGAGATATAACAAACCATAAAATCATAAAACTAAAAAATAAGTTGCACTACAGCTTAAAGAGTTCTTTCATTTAATTAAGAAAATAAGAAATTTCATGTCAATGTGCATGCACTTTAACCAAATTCTAAACGCGCTTCTATAGTCCGATGAACCAGGAAACACTTCAAAGATACGTAATTGATGATTTGGTATTGTAACAAGTAGAAAAAATACGTAACTATAAAAATAATTTACTATGCAATTTCTTTTTCCGCAAAACACTTGCGTAACATTATATTAGCCAAACAAGAACCGCAGGAGAATACATCAGTCAAGTGCAGATTAAGTGCTATTCTTTGTGTGAACAGACGTCACAGTATATGAATCGTGCGCCATCTTGGTTGTGTGAGTCTTGCACCATTCTAACGTTTGCTTTAATCGTTACAGTGAAGCAGCTGATCGAATTGATTCACTATCATAGGCGTACCGGGCGGGGGGGCGGGGGGGGGCGGCAGCCCCCCCAGTTTTTTGGGCAGTCGGGCAATATTCGATGAACAGTCGGGCAATTTTG